GGGGGGCCGGAGGACCGGCGCTCGGGACCTGCCTCTTTAACAAGCCTCACGTTTTCAGTAGCTAACACCTGGTTTAAATGCGCTTAAAGCAAACACTTTCACAGCACAACTGAACTGCAGTATACAGTGAGAAGCCTTCGTCTCACCACATTAAACCACATACACACAAGTAACCAGAGCAATTATTTGAGTATTTATGAATAACTGTACTGAGTAATTATGAAAGCACCCACCTGTTTCCTGGAGTAGGGGCCTCCTCCAAAGTGCCCCGCTGCTTATCTGGAACCTACAGCTCAGAGGTCGTTGTAAGCTCTGTGAGCCTCAGTTTGTTCCTCCAGGATTGAAGGAGAGCAAGTTGTTAAGTAGAAGATCAAGTATAATTACATACATGCGTGGTGGAGGAAAAAATTTTCCTCTGTCTTCTTAGGGTCCCTCGTTGGGTCCGAAATTTAACTAACAAAAACAGATTAACGGGGGAAGGCTTACAAGTTGTTTTAATATAAGATTTACATGACAATGAGAGCCTTCCTAAGAAAATGACCCCAAAAAACAGACCTGAGAATTTTACGCCAGGTCTGATGAGGAGGAATACAACAGGAGGGGGACATAACAGATTAAGGAATAAGAGGTTAGTGTAATAAGCCGGTGGGAACTTGGCAAGGCCTGCGTGTTAGGATCCTTCTTGGAAGCGTTTCTTTGTCTTTGGAGAGAAGGCTGCTCCTTTCGTCCTGGGAGAGGGAGGGCACCCCCACCCCATGAGGGTTTTATGACCTGTTTCAGGGAGGAAGGGGGAAGGGGAAGAGGTGAGAGCGACCTTCCAGCTCTGGCCGTTTTCTCAAGCTCCTTCAGTTTCAGCATACCAGATGCCATGCTGGGGGTAGGGTATCCTGAGCCCCCTCACATGTCGAACAGCGTCAGACATCTACACAGGCAGCTTACGTACTGGCCACAAGTTCACTGTTATTAGAGGGTGAGGGTCAGAAGACCCCTTCCTGCACCTTCCCTCTGGGACTTCACATTCCGTGCATCACTGTCCCTGTTGCTGTCCCCATCTCCCCCTGGCCCCATGCTCCCCACCAGTCAGGAAGAGAGAGCCCCTGTTGTCCCCTCCCTGCTGGACCCAGCGTCCTCTGTCCCTCAGTCATCTCTCCTGTAGGTGGCAGGACGAGTCCACAAAAATCACAGGCGCCTGTACACTCAGAAATGGACGGAGAGCAGCCGACCGTCCTGGGCTGACTCCCTGGTCCTCAGCGTGGCTGCGCGGGCGCCCCCCACCCCAGTCCCGGGCGCTTCTAGGCAGCGTCCCTGCATCCCCGCGATCCCCCTAGTTCTCCTGAGCTCTTGGTGCCGGTGCCCTCCCACTCTCCTCTGCCTTCGAGCCCCCATCCGTGCCCCAGCCCTGAGTGCGGGAGGCCCCTTCAGAGCTGCAGCCCCGGAGCTGTCCCCCTGCCTGGCTCTGACTTGGTGCAGTTTTCCCCACTGGGCAGGGTGGGGGGGGGTTGCTCTGAGCATCTCTCAGGCTTAGGACAGGGGCGGGCTCAGGACGTTCTCAGGGACCCCGGGGACAGAGAAGGCAGGAATGATGGTCTCAGAGCAGCTGGGACACAGCGCACTCCCTCCCTCCCCAAGTCACAGGCGGACCTGTGTGCTCCGCTGTGTGGAGCCTACCGCTTCCAACCAGACCCGAGACACAAGGAGACACGCTGAGCACGGGGCTCCCCAGCACAGCCGTAGAGGCATGCGCACCCTATTTAAATCCCCCCCCCACTGCCTCCTAGGTGTCCTTAGAGACCAAGGTGACATCCCTGCCCGCATGCTTTAGGCAACGGAACAAGAGCTGTCACAGAATTGGAACCCATCTTCAAGGCCCTCAGGGCTCTGCCTCCCTCATGGCAGCAAGCCTCACTCTGCGTTGAATTCATCCCAGCTCAGCTGTCCTCGCCTCAGGACTGGGGGGCCCTTGAGGGCCAAGACCAGGTCTCATTTTTAGTTCCACTGCCGGCACCCGGAACTGGGCTAAATGAATGAATGCTGTGAACATTGGAAGAGGCCCTTTCACCCACAGTCGCAGGGCCCTCGGAATCTCCCAGTGTCCACAGCTGTGAGGCAGACCCCGTGATGGGCAAGGACACACACTCTGGAGCCAGACTGCCTGCGTCTGAGTCTTGGCTTGGCTACTTCTGATCTGTGTGACCTGAGCTCTCTGTGCCTCTGTTCTCTTATCTCGGAAACAGAGAAAACAACAGAACCCATCACGTGGTTGTGAGGGTGAAGTGAATCAAAAAGTGTACAGAAATAAGCTAGGTGCCTACCGCATGGTCAGTGCCCAAGAAATGTTTGTTATTCTGATAATTTGTTTAAAAATGGAGGGGCTCCTAGTCAGTGGGTGGGAGATGCAGTGTTGAAGAGTAAACGCATTCACTCATGTACCCATCACAGCCTGGCGCTGGGGATAAAGTAATGTAATGGACCAAGTCGGTGGTGGACAGTATACCCATTCTCCTTTGGGATAATAATGGAAGCTATTAGGTGAGTATGTGACTGCACAACCAAAGACTACACTTCCCAGGATGTCTTGCACCAGGAACTGGTCATATGACTGTGTTCTGGTCATTGAGGCTTGAGATAAAGGGATCTGGACATCCTGTAGGAATTTCCCTTTGAAGGATAAAAGTGTGTCTTCCCCTTCTCTATTCCCCCCTCTTCCCATGAGCTAGAATGTGGACTGGGTGTGGGGGTGAGCCTCCTTCACCACGTG